GAGTAATGTAATGATTTATATCACCGCTTGTGCATAAACTGAACCCGAAATGCAAATATTTTAGATTTTATCCTATTCCTGTCGTTCGTTCAAAATTATTGAAGTATACTTGAAGAGAGATAGAGGAGATACACTTGACGCTGAAGCTCAAAGAAAACCACTATTGATAATGGCGCGCATATAATAGTTGAATGGAAAAGTTGTGCTGCAAGATCGTCTTTCGCTCCGATGAATTTTCGATGTTTTTGAACGTGTTTATGGCAAATAACCCTTTTCCATTTACTAAGACGACGCAAAATATATGCGAATATATGTAGAAGTATATAATGCTTGAGTCGATTTTATAAACGCAATACACGTTCTTTCCTTTTATGCTGAAATTTCTCTCAGGGTTTGTCTTAAATATGTTTATGGGAATTTAATATTCGCAATACGTAATATATGTAGAATATTGAAGTACGGAGGAGACGTGTTCTGTTGTTCTAAATAGCAATTTGGTATATCCTATTTTGATTCTCAAGTGTCACAAATTCGAATTTGATTTCAGTACAATTCTAAAATGAGTATGTTGTCATCGATCAAGAAATATAATTAATAGTAGGGCAGACCTACTAATGGCCTACGCCATGTGGCGTTGTTTCTCTTCTTTTCTATTTAGTAAATTATTTAACATCTGTTTGCTGTTTTCCTAAATAATTCACCTCCCTCAAGGCTTCTCATCATGTCCGTTTCAGTGAAATCCAGTCCACTCTCTTTCTTAAAATTATCTCTCTCATCCTTCCATCTGGGATAATAGAATACATGCTCACCATCGCCTATTTCACTACAAAATAAACATGACTCAGAGCTTGCCCGCGAATCTTATAGATGTATTTTCGGAAGCACCCGTGTCCAGACAGCATTTGTGTCAGGTGTCCACTTCACCATATGGTCTGTCAATCCATTTTTCAATGTTGGGTATAAGTCTTCGGGTCCATCTTCCATATTTTCCTTTATCCCACTGATCCTGCCACTTCTCCACCACAGTTTTCCTGGCTATTTGTTTGAGCTCTCTCTTGTATCTATCCGCTCGTTCATGAGCTAATAAGTGGATAGGAGGGATGACCAATAACACCAACTGCTTCAGTAGTTAAGGGTTAAAGGTTATTCTCTAACATAACACAAGTAAAACATCCTTTGTAAAACATTCAAACTTATCTATATCACAGCACTTAAATATTACAGATTTGTGGTCAAGGAATAGATTTTTTACCACTTCCTCCATTGCTATCATGGAGAGATTGATTGAGGTGGAAAGCAGATCATCCCTTTCATAATAATTTTACATCCATTCCCAAATATATCACAGTCAACTTCATCACAAATATTTTTCCAGCATTTTCTTTTGGCACTATTTATTTCATCACGCAGTCTTTTTGTTCCAAACACAATGAGAGCCTTAGCTAACTTTTTGTTGAGGTAACTATATCGATTAAAATGAAAAAAGAAATTGCAGCCACTTAATATGTGAAGTGCTGATCTTTGACCAAAAAATTGTATGCATCCGATTATAGGCACTCTTGAAATCGACCAGTAGTAATGTAGAATGTAGAATGAGTAAGAGGGGAGGTTAATCACTGCGACCTTAAAGATCTATTGTGTGTGTGCCCCCCTTCCTTGAGTCATCACACAGTCTATAACCCATCATACCTCTGTTGTAGAGGGGACAGGGTATTTCCCATCCTCCTGACAACAGTTCTTCCCGCCCTCCGTGCCGCCCTTCACAGTCGAGGAGCTTGCCTCCGGTTGAGGAACCCTTGAGATGGATGCTGGAGGATCTGTCTCCATTTTCTCCACCTCTTTAACTTGGTCTATCCTTAGACCTGATACCGGTGTTGTCCCGTATCTATAATAGAGGATATGTCCCTCTTTCTCTATTGCCTCCTTGGATTTGAGATCAATTCCTACTGTGAGGACCTGACCATGACCCTCCTCCCTCGAGTTGATGACTCGCCACCTCGATGTCATGTACACGACCTGTAGTAATACCATTAAACCGAATGCTGATCGCTGCGACCTGATTGTCAGTGCGTTTGACCTCTATATCTGCAAAATGCTTAATCAAATTATGTCGATCTCTAATGTATGATTATAAAGATATAAGATTGCTTTCTTAGTATTTCTGTACAACTAAAAAATACGACTTATCAAATTGACATAATTGGCGAAATAGGGAGAAATGCAGCTAAATATATATTATCATTCTTTAATTCTGAAGAAAGTAACGGATATGTCATTACATACAAGTAGATATAATCGGGAATAAGCAGTATTTAAATTAAATACCTATACATATACAATTATAAGAACATGCTAAATGAATATTATACAGATCCGTATTGAGATAAATTTGTTAACTGAGAATATTCTATAAAAGCAAATTGTTTTATCACAAATTTTAATAGATGAAATATACCATTCTAACTCTGTTATAAATTTGCAAATCTTGCATTTACTTAATAAAAATATGCAATTCTTAACTGACTCATCAAAGTCAATGACATGAAATTTAGGGATAAATTGCGATAATGATATGAAAACAATAAAGAGAAAATAGAATTTCAAGTATCACTGCTTGCTTTTATACAGGGTGTTCCAGAAATAAGTGCAAATATTTAAACTGGTAGTATGTTTCATCCCCAGAAACACTAAAAATCAAAATTTTATATTTTTCTTGACATTTTGAGTTGTTGTTGACTTTTTAGTTTCCGGAAATTTCTTTATAGTGCTTCGAGAGAATGTAATGGTTCCACCTCCTACGTAATTCACATACGATACCTAAGTGATAAGTTCACATTTTTAAATTTCTACAAAAAAATACTTGAATTAATTGTATTGACTGTAGATTTTTTAATAATTATAGATTACTTTAAAGTATAGTGCAACGTCTACTATATCTTAAATCCCATTTTTACAGTTTAGTAAAAATAATAGATAAAAAATTACTGAAATAATGATCAATTATTATAGAAGCTTTTCAATAGTTCAGAATCAGTGCACCCTATTTGATATGTAAATAGTCAACGTTTGACCTACATTTAAACAGATCAGTTGATGGAATTTTTAGGTTATCCAATTCATTTGAAATTTTACTCAAAACAGTAAACTTCTGACAGAATAAAAAATAGGCAAATATAAGGTTGACCTGTAAAAATACTTTTATTATTCAAATAGGAACCTCAATTATTTTGGTGTTTATTTACTAAAACAAGTGTGTAACATAGAAAACACAAGATTTTAAATTCTCAAAAAATAATATTAAATAATTCAGATGGTATATGAATACGTATTTTGTGCCAAATACACGAGGAAGTGTATTGCTGTCAAGAATCGCAGTGAAATGAGAATAAAGTGTAGAGTTGCGGTTTTAGGTAAAGCGATAAAACGATGATCCAGAGAAAGATCTGAGAAGACAAATAAACAAATGCTGAGACAAATAGTGTGAATAAACCCCTTCATGCGAACTGAAAGCAAAATTAAAATTTATCCGATTTATTAGAAATCCGAGGGGAAACAAACAAGACCAAAAGCATGTTAAGATTCGCTGAAATGAAGAACCTAAGAACCATAATGAGAAAGACTAGAAGAGATAGAATTAGAAACACAAATATCAGACAACAATGTGGAATACAGGATGTAGTGAGATGGGGCAAAGAAAAAGACAATGGTTCGGACACGTAAAACGCATGGAAGAAAACAGGCTACCGCGCATAGCTCTTGAAGGGAAACCCATGGGTAAGAGACAGTCAGTCGGGAAGACCCCAAAAAAGATGGAAAGACAGTTGGCAATTCATTCCCAAGAACTCCTACAGAGGCAACTTTAAAATTAACAGATCGAAAGATCTCAAATAAGTAAAAGAAGAGAAGAAGAGTTTTAATCTGAATTTTCCCAGAAGTTTTTTAAATCTTTCTAGTCGATGTGTCAACACTGGGCGTCGAACAATCTGCAATTCTGGTAATTGCTTGTTCTTTGTGGCTGTATTTTTTTTTTGTTTTAACTGACACAAAATGATAACTAGTTGTTAAAGTTGGACAAATTAGGCAGCTATGTTGAAGTAAAGTCAGACATATCACAGCCACCTAGATTTTATCAAATAATAAAGATCTACTCAGATCAAATAATCATGTAAACGAAAATATCTAAAAAAATCTTTGTTTGAGGGGTAGGCAACCTTAATAGTATTTGGAGAAGACATGAATTCTCCATTGAATATCGGAATAATATACTGGGTGTTTCATTTAAAATAAAAGAGTAACATACTTTTGAAGGTGACCAATGTTTTATATTAATTTTGTCTCACCCTGTGTAACTTTTTGAATTAAATTTTAATTTAATTTAAAGTACAATAGTTAATTTAACTACATATTAGGTTATACCGGGTAAATTCCAATTTAGGTAGCTTTTATTGTAATTTAAAAATTGTTCTTTATTTCTAGAAAATGTTGAATATGTCAAAAACCTTACATTTTAGTCATATACTTCTCTTATAAAACTCACCTTTATTTTTCTCCCAAAATCCGGAAATCAATTAATATATAGAGTGTTCCATTACAAAAAACACAACTTTGATATGTAACTTTTTTGGGGAACACCCTGTAGAACTCTCTATATTTTTTAAAAGTGCTCTGAATTAACCTACATATGCTCACAAAATTTCATTTCAATACAAACTGTTGTTCTCCTTGGAGCCTCCGCGGCGTATGAGAGGCGCCACCCTGTATATATAAAGCTACAAGAATGTTGTTTATTTTTTTCAACGGGTTTTAATGGCTGCAAAATGCCAGTCATTCGTTATTCTTTTATAAATAATAATGTTAGGAATTTCAGCTAACGTTCTCTGTCGGCTATCGAACGGTTTCTCAGCCGAGAAAAGCCATCAATTCCTCTCTGTCTATTCTAATTTTTCCGCCGTGCAGCATTTGCTGTTGCTGCTGCTGCTGTTGCTGTTGGCGCGGTGAAAGTGCAGAAAGCAACGCAAAACGCGTGTGTGTCGAGCACGGCAGAGCTTAAGGGGGAACGAACTTATAAGTTAAGTTATTAAACTCACGCTCGCTTATTTTACCTTGACATTGTTCACATAATTAGTTCCGATATAGATATGTAGAGAGCGTCTTCGGTGCGTTTATATCATCTCTTTGTAACCGCTTCTCGGTCTATCAGGGGTTCAAGCAATTTTGAGTGTAAACCAAATAGGATAATAAAGTGTGCAAAATGAAGACTCAAGTAAGTCAAACTTTGGTATTATCTTATCTCAGAACTTTAGAAATTTATGTAATTTATGTAAATTGGGAGATGCTTTATTTAGAAGAACTGTTTTTCCTGTTTTCTCGTTCTTTCAAATTTAAGTTTTACATTGCATTTTTTTAACTGTATATTACCTTACTGCAAACTGCATTTCAATAATTTTTGATATAATGATATTAATGATTATTAAAAACATATCAAAGTTTTTATTGAATGTGGTATATGGTAAATAAAATAATCTTAACAATAATTCAAGCATTTATCTCTTATAGTTTTTCAGATAAAAAATAAAATATGTGTAAAATTGACAAAAAAATTATTTTGAATAAGCATTGGTAAAATCATGAATTGAACATTTTTAAAGTTGATATTTGAGTTATAACGAACTTCTAACGTATAAGTCGTTAGAAGACTAGAATTAATTCAATTGGTATTATCTGACTTAATTAATTATACGATAATTCAAAGTTCATAAATTATAGTCAAACTTCTTTAATATTATTTTGTATGAGCCGAAAAAAAAAATAGAAGGATAACCTACAAAAAGAAATAAGATCCCATCAAAAACTAAATAATAACTGTTTATAAATTTATAATTAATTTATTTTTGTTTCCTAAAATATTTTGATTAAAAGAAAATAAATAAAATTGGACAACACTGTGCCGGTCAAGCTTAATATCGTGACTAAAAGTTTGTTCGGTATGAACTGTATGTAGGTATATTTATAATGGCAGCATCCAGTTGATTTAGTCCAAGCCCTCCACTAATTATTTAGTAACTATTTAGAATGAAACGTATTTTCATAAGTACGGAAAAATATAAATATTTAAATTTATATTCTATTTTAAAAAATGTTGAGAATTGAATGATATTATTTTGCATTCACGTGATTCACGTGTGATGTGAAATATTATACGTTTATACTTTGTACAACTATCTTGCATATTTATGAGCTATTATATCCAAGATATATGTATACTAAGAAGAGTTATTGCTACTAAACTATCCTAGACTAACTGTAACCAACGTATTTGTTAACCAACACTGTCCTCCATAAATATAAGTATATATAGTTAATTTTTATATTTCAAATTAAATTTGACAGAAGCTATTTTATTATTAAATATACAACTAATAATTTTTGGTAGTCAATTGGATTGATTTGGTTTAGTTTTCTTATAACAATATACTACTACCCAAAATATAGGAGTTATTATCAAATGTCAATAATTGTTAAATTCCAGTGACGAAAATGTCAAAGTTCCTAGTATTTTTATTTCCAAAAACCTTTTAACTATACCGGGTGCGTCTCAAAAGTGGCTCACCCCTATAACTTTTTTATTTTTTCAGATATAAAATTGAGATTTGGTATGTTAATATGTGACATAAATTAGGATTGATTACCCTCGATTTGATTGGTACCCTCGGTTTTTTCTTGCTTTATTCGATAGAAAATGGTACTTTGAATAGAATGACATATGTCAACTTTGATATTTTCGAATATGGTTTATTAGAAATTGCAATATGCGATTCATAACGACAATTTGATTTGAAATACCAAGTGTGTGGTACCAAATTATTCGTAAAAAATGCTTTTTCTAAATATGCTAATGAGCCACCCTCGTTCCATTTGGAAAAATTGAGATATGATTAAAAATACAATTTGGGCATCTTTTAACCTGCCAGGACAAGACACGAATAACATTGGACGATTAAATCTATTTTTTCAAGGCAAAAATGTCAAAAGTTTGTTTTAAGCAAAAATGTCAAAAGTTGACATAATATGATATGTCATTCTATTCAGAATGTCTTTTTCTATCGAATGAAGTAAAAAAATACCGAGAGTGCCATTTAAAAATCAAAAGTTGTAGTAATTTCCGGCGAAACAGGAAGTGACAGAAAACAATTGAATACGCTAGTCAATCCTAATTTATGTGATATACCAACATACCAAATCTCGTTTCTTTATCTGAAAAAATAAAAAAGTTATAGGGGGTGAGCCACTTTTGAGACGCACCCGGTATAAACAGGCACAGTATATACTCTTACAAAGTTGAGTATCTATATTACCAAATAGTAAATATCAACCAAAAAATAGTTTTTCTTGGTTCACTTGGTATATATTTTATTGTTGCCAAGTGATATGCTCTTTATTGGTGCATTTTATTTTCCTGAAATTATTTTGTAAATTTGGTATTTCAAATCTTTTTGTTTCCTTCCAATTTCACACTTTTTCTTAATTTGTAACGTAAAACAAAATAATTGTAAAGCCGTTACCGGTACCAGTATATTGCTAAATAAACTTATTTAATTATATTGAACGCTAATCATGTAAAAACATAAAAATTTAGCAACTTTATCGAAGTATAGAGCTGAGATTAAGATATCGTAATATCAATACCCTGGTTTATATTTTATTTGAATTTTTAACCAGTTTATATAGGCCTAGAAAACATGCACTAGGCATAAGAAACAAGTTTCGAAGAAATTCGATTATTATCTAAATTTACCACATAAAAGTTGCATAATGATTAATCCATGATAATAATTAAGAAAATGATCGTTTTACCAGCAAATACACATATTATATAATTTGTGTTGGATAAAATAGTAGATATATTTTAAAATTAATTAGCAACGGCAACCACAACACAGTAAAAAATAAACCATTGTAAATGGGTAGATAAATACATCATAATTAATTTTTTCCAAAACTTTTTTTTGTCCAAAACAAAAGTCTGTCTAAAAGAAGAATACCTGACACTGACAGTTGTTGTCTGTCATTTAAATTCTAAACTATAGTTCATAACAAATAAACTTTTAGTCGCGTGATTAAGCTTGACCGGCACAGCTTTGCCCACTTTTACATTTTTTCTTTTATTTTTTTTATTAGATGGAAAGAATTTTTTTGTATCTAAAATATTTCAAATTTTTTAATGGTTTCGCAGATACACGGAGTATTATTTCATATGGTTCTTTCAACGGTAACAACAATCTCGGCGAACTTCTGACGATCTTGGGCAGCTCGAAATAACGAGTGTGCATCCATACCCGTCCAATATCTGATGTTTTTCAACCATGAATGTTTCTTTCTACCCATACCCCGCTTGTCCTCAATTTTTCCCTCCATTATCAATGTTAACAGATCATATCTATTTCCACGCATTATAGGACCCAGATAGACTGTCTTACGTTTCTTGGCTATGTGCACTGGTCTCGCATCAGCACCTCTTCGTTTGTGACATGTGCCGTCCAAGGTATTTTGAGAAATCTACGAAGAATCCACATCTCAAGGGCTTCTATTCTGTTAATGGTGTTAACCTTTAGTCCATGATTCACAGCCATACAACAAAACCGGGTGTACATAGCACTTCACAAACCGGTATCTAAGACTCAGACTTAGGGTGGCATTACACAGTAATGGCCGCATCAGGTTAAAAGTGGCTCTTGCTTGCTCGATTCTGGATCTAATTTTTATTTCTGGATCTAGGTTGTTGCAAATCCAGGTCCCCAAATATTTGTTTCCCATATATACTAATATCTATGGGCGGCTCTGGGGTTTTTGATATTATAAGTATTTTTGTTTTAGTGGTATTTATTTTAAAGCCGTAACGATCTCCGACTGCAGCGAGTTGATTTATCAAGCGTTGCAAGGCTTGTGGACTATCTGCTAGTACCGCGGTATCATCAGCATATCATAGGTTGTAAAGTGTTACACCGTTGATCTTAATTCCATCACTCGTGTCTTTTATTGCCTCTTCAAAAATACGTTCGGAGTATAAATTAAATAATATTGGTGATAAAATGCAAACCTGTCGGACACCTCTTTGTATGTTTGCTGGTTCAGTTGTTATATTGTTATATTTTACTACAGCGAGCGGTCTGATCCCAATACAAGCTTTTGATGATTGCAATATCGTTTTTATCTAGACCTCTTGACTCTAGTATTTTTAACAGTTCCACGTGATCTACTCGGTCGAACGCCTTCTCATAATCTATGAAGCACGTATATACGTTCCTTTGCTGGTCTCTATACTTTTGAAATAGAACGTTCAAGCCAAACAATGCTTCTCGAGTTCCCATTCCTTCACGAAATCCGAACTGTGTCTGGCTAATATCCTGTTCGCACTTTCTGAATATCCATGAGTGAATTATTTTAAGGAACAATTTGAGGAAGTGACTCATCAAGCTTATAAGTCTAAATTCATCGCATCTTCTGACATTAGCCCCTCCCGGGGAATCACACCGGTGGAATAAATTTAATTAAAAAGCCGCACCAGCGTATCTACGTGCTCTTCTTCTAAAAGTTTTATGATTTCTATATGAACTTGATCTGGTCAAGGGGATTTTCCGATTTTGCTGTTCTTTATTGCTTTTAAAACTTCCTGTTTCAGTATTTTAGGAGCGCTCTCCAGATCTCTGGTTAATTCGAACCGGCGTGGTTCTAAGCTTTTGAACAACTGCTCTATGTAGACTTTCCAGTGTCTCTTGAGGTCATCGATATCTATGATTTCTGTGTTATTATCGCCACGTAAGGCACACGTTACAGATTTTTTGTTTCTCCCTGTCACTTCCTTTATTTTCTTGTGCACAGCGAAATGATTGTTCTTTTTTTCCAGCAGCTCGATTTTTTCACATCTTTCATTTAACCACTGTTCTTTGGCCCTTCTTACTTTCCTCTGAATGTTCTTGTTAATTTCTCTGTACTTCTGTGAGTTTTTCTTTTTGTGTTTTCTTCTCTCTTCCATAATTTGCAGTATTTCGTCTGTCATCAAAACCCTTCTCTTTCTTCTGTCCTTGGTTCCAATTTCTTCTTTCTCTATCTTACTCAGTCTATTGTGAATTTCATTCCATTGTTCTTGTACATTACTCGTGGAGTTGTTAGATCTTTGAGAGAATTCTTCGTTTACACGTTGTCTGAGTCTTTCAAGTGTGGCAGGATTCTTTAGATTCTGAATATCAACAGAAATGATGGAGG